ACACCCAAAAACGAACACGTAATCTAATTCATGCGGTATTAGTTTGTGTCACTTCGCTGTGGCCCTAAATATACAGTCGGTAATTCATTGTATTTATTTTTCTTACTGTGTTATAACCGATATTTATTATAGCTCTGCTGAAAAGGAAGTTTATCTTTGGCAAATGTTTGTTTTCGATGATGCATCTTGTATGAGTACTGGATTATTTTTGCATTCAATTGATTGGTTTTTGTTCAATTGGATGACGTGTAGATCATTGGCTTGATGAATTTACTCGATGATATTGATTGTTGCTTTTTGATCTGCAAAGAAATTTTATTCGTAGAGCATGTGTTTTACGAATTTGGATATGTCAGAACTTACTTTGTAGCATCACTGCGCAACGAGATTCTCCAATAAATTTGAGTAATTGTTTCTCATTTCCAGTATAATACCGTCGATCTGACAAAGGATATTTATCATTTGATATAGATAATACTATCTGAAAAGAATGATACTAATCATATATGTAATAAAATGATATTGATCAGTTGTATTGAGTGTGGGTGTAGATAAAGATTGAATCCAATGACCACATCGACACCTACCCACAATTACACTCACACACACATCCAATTGAACTATTTAAATGTGATGAACTATCACATCTATAGATTAATAAATAACTTTAGTTTATATTTGAAGGGTTCATTTCAAAAATTAATGAAACACTTCGATTATTATTCCATTGTGATTGTAGTTACATTTTCATAACGATCTAATATTGTTAATGAAACTGCTCTAGATAGATTTATATTTGATGTTAGTTGACTATAATTAACTAATACAAATAATTGGATCGTAGACTAGAAAGTAATATAGAAGAATGTGGGTGTAGGCACAGCAGAATTAACACCCAAACCTGTCCACCTATCTCATCTCACACCCACACCCTATTTGTGAAAATAATTGAATATTAAAATGCAATCAATCTGATGATCAGTTTTTATTTTGGTTGCAAAAAACGTTAATTACGATATAATGAAAAAAGAAAAGCATGGCAAGTTACAAAATAAATCTATTAGTAGACTGTTTATGCTGTTGGATGAACTGCTTGTTCTGCTTGAGCCATGGCACCACCTTCACCAGCACCTTTGTCATCACCCTACAAGAAAAAATTATATATGTATATATAAAATAAATAGATTATGACTAACCAATGCTTTTCTTTCTCGTCTTCGTTTTTCTTCTTCAATAATTTTCCAAAAATCTTTTTCGGCTTTTTCAATTGGATCACCTTCTTTCAATTCTGATTCTTCAGCTTGTCCCTCAGTTGTTGTTTTTTCACCTTTCTTTAATATAATAAAAAGAACAAAAAACAAATTAGAAAAAGTAAATAAAAACAAATGAATAAATTTACTTCGCCTGGTGCTCCTGCTTTTCCTCGAGCATCTCGTTTAGCTCTTCCTCGAGCTTCAAGAACTTTAGCACGTCTTGTTTCACGATCAAACATCTATGAAAAATAATTTAATATAAAATTTTGAAATTAATAATAGCATTAATTAACTTACTCCCGAGACTAAACCTTTTTCACTTTTACCTTGCGTACATAAATTATCAGAAACTTCAACTAATGTTAGTGTACCATTTTGTGATCCACAAGCAACAAGACGACCATGTGTTTCTTGTACACGTAAACAATGAAGTGGTTCATCAACAACTTGAATTGATAATGTTGGTTCATTTTGTTTAAATAATATATCCCAAACATCCAATGTACCTTAAGAAAATCAAATTTTATATGGATATTCTTTTTTTTTTCTTAATTTTTACCATCCATTTTAGTTGTATAGAAAATAGATCCTCGTATGGGTGACCATTGAGCATCGGTAAGTGCATGCATACTTGGTCTAAACAGAATTAAAATAATTTATTATTTTTTTGTTTAGAAAAATTAATTCGTATTTAAATTACTTTGTCCACATAATACAATCATCACGTAATTCTTCAGACCATATACGTACAGTCCAATCACCAACAGATAGAAAAGTTTTTGTAAAATACGGATGTCGTTGAAGTGCATAAACGGGACCCCAATGTCCAGGAAAGACAGTACCAATTTTTTCTGCGTCATTTTTTCCTTTACGATTACATGATATAATACGTCCTTGTTCTGTACCAACCATAAATTTAGTTGGCTATATATATATAACAATTAGATATAATAAACATGAAATAATTAATAAATATATTTACAATAGTTGGTTCATATTCAAGTGTCATAGCACCAAGAGCATTTTCTAATCGACCTTTCTTTTCTATATCTAATATTAATGTATCGACTGGTTCCGATAATTTTTTTGTATCCCACCAAAGTACCTAAAAAGAAAGAATTTTGTATTTTTATATAAAGAGAAAAACAAAACACGAAATAAATACTTTGCCATCAGTTGATGCAGAAAAAAATTCAGTACCAGATTTTGATTGTAACCAAATTGTTTTATAAGCTGGATCTCGATGACTATTTTCAATAAGGGATTGTTCAACAGCTGTACTACCTTTTCGAGTATCGAATATACCTATGAATAGAAAATTAAAGAAAATATTTTCTTCAAATTTTTACAAAAATTTAGTTAGACTTACAAACTTGACCATTATAACAGCCACCAACAAGTTGATGAGCATCTTTTGGATTGAATTCAACACAAACAAGTGGTGATATTGGTTTAAGATAAAAATCAGGTTTAGTAGGATTTTCTAATAGAAAAATTCTTATTTAGAATAGAATAAAACAAAAAATAATAATATACCAATATCCCAAATATATGAATCTATATATGCGTCATTTGAAGCTGATTGAAATTCCAAATTACAATATGAAACAGCTATTTTACGTGCACCATCAGCATTCCATGATATATGATTAGCTGTACGTCGAGTAGAATGTGGATCACTAAAAATTTTCACAAAAATTTGTTTTTTGTATAAAAAATTTCAAGATTTCTACCGATAGATATTAATAGTTTTAGCAAAAGGTGCTTCTTCAACAACATCGGCTTCTATATTTTGAAAATAATTTTCATAAATATCAATTGCATTATTTTGTTTAATTGTATGTGCAATTGACTAAAATAAGTTAATATAAAATAATTTTTTATCCAGAAAAAAAAAGTATTTACTTGTCCAAGTGATACAACAGCACGTCCATAACCATCTTCTTTTTCAGTTTTCTTTCGAAAACGTGTTGTTTGATCGGGTTCAAGTGGATTCACATCTTTAGGCCAACCACCTTCAACATGATTAACACCACGATGTTCTGTTTCAAATCGCACTGTGTTTACCTTAAATTAAAAGTTTTAAGTAAAATATTAATTAAAAAAAAAAGAGGACTCATGTCTTACCCAATGCTCAGAAAATTCACGGACATTTTGTGTCCCAGTATCAACTGGATTACGAGGAATATAATCATGAAGTAACTCAGGATTTGGTTGAATATCAGCAGTTATTTCAACAGCTCGGTCTGTAAAATATACTTGACGACCAAACTCTGATCGTTTCTTCGTATAAACATATTGCATGTCCATGTTTCTGATTAAAATATAAAAAGGATTTGTTAGAATAACTATTGATCATCATTAGTATCGATTTTACATCAACTTCAACTGAGCAACGGCCTCCGTACAAAAGTCGTTGCTATGTAGAAGATGTCAGTATAAAACAAACTAATTTATTTTGTTTCTTTCACATTTTAGTGACGATAAATTTAACACATATATATATATATTTCAACAAGTACAATGTAATTAAAATTTTACTGACGTAAATTCATAAAGCATTAAAAATATCGGAAATTACATAGCTCAATTAGCATGTTCGTAATATTGCAATGAGAAATATGTGTTAGTCTACATTTGACAGATCGTAATGAATATCGGATACGAGTATAGAGTGCGATATATTTGATTGAATTTCATTCATTTAATAGTCCAACAGCACCAACAAACTTGTATATTCGATAGGAAAAACATTTTAAAGATCTTTATGAAATATCAAACTGCGTCAAAAGCTTTTAATGATTTATGTTGATGAAAAACTTATCTTTTCCATATAAAAATCATTTAAAAACTTAAAAATAATGGAACATTTTTATCGCCTAGACACATTTTCTACTTATGCACTCAAATACTTTTCAGTTTTTTTTACATGATATGATAACAAAAAAGAAAATATGTGTTAATTAAAAATGGCAGTTTTAATTTGACACTAAAAAAAAAAGAAATTTATTTTTTAATTCATACATTAGATAAATTACATCTTGTGTTATACAATCATTCTATTTTAATTCCAAAAAATTATATAGAATATCTATCTTATTGAAAATACTATAATATGAAATTTTAAATGGTCTATTGAAGATAATAGTACATCTAATGCTTTTTCTTTTATATACTTGTAACACTTTTATTGTTAATGAATCTAAATGAAATAAGAGATTTTATTTTCTCATTTTTTTCTCTCTCTCTTACACTTACTTTATATTCTAAATCGGAAATAAGAAATACAATCATTTCTTTTTTTTCTATCTTCGTAAAAGAACACACCGATGACAATGGAATATGAAGATTCGTCATCGACATTAGAAAAACTTACTTTATTAGTATTTATTGTTGCTATTGTGATTGGCAATGTAAGTTTAGATTATAATACTTTTTTTAATTTTTAAAAATCTATAAATTTAGTTGTGCGTATTTATCACATATCTCGTACGTGCTGATGGAAAACATTGGTCAAATGTTTTTGTATTATGTATGGCATTTATTGATTTATTTATTGGTGGTTTTGTTCTTCCTATGCGCTTTATGAGCGCTTATGGAAGTCCATTAACATCTAAATTATGTACTGCATTAGCAATTGGTGAATCTTGTGCATTAGCAGCTATTATATATGCTATTGCTTTTATGATCTATACTCGTTTATATAGTTTAAAACAACCAACACCAGTTATTGATCGCCGTTTTCTTCTAATATTAATTTTATTATCATGGGTTATTCTTTTTCTTTTTTATGGAATACCATTTATGACAAATTATTCAAATTATCTTTTAACAGAAACATCAACAACATCAAATCAAACATCCTATTGTACAACTTATACAACATCAATTTATCATCCATTATGGATGGCTTATACAGAAATTGGTATAATTTATACTTTACCATTATTAACAATTTTCATAGGTTTAATTTTTCTTATGAAACATTTATGTAAACGTCGACCACGAAGATTAGAAGCATCTGAACGAAAATTATATATTGAACAACAACAAATGACATGGCATGTTTATTTATTAGGTATAACATTTTGTTTATTTTGGTTTCCTTGGATAATAATTCGTATTATTATTATTTTTAATCATACACATCAAATTCAACATGCATTACAAATAACTTATTATATACTTATGATTAAATCATTGATTTTCCCGATATTATATGCTGCAACAAATGCATCATTTCGTGGAAATTTTGCCATATATAGACATCAAAGAATAGTTATTAATAAACATATATGGTCAGTGAATGATAGTAATCAACAATCATTACAACAACGTCGTGGATATTAAATAAGACAAAAAAAAATTGACTAAATTTTAATCTTTTATTTTTTCTTGTAAGACATATAAATATATAATATATATGAGAAAGTATTCTTTTATGTTTTGTCATTTCTTAATTAATGAAATAAATATCGTTTAACATGGTTGATCATTACAAGTTTTAACTTGTTGAAAATCACCAGTACAATTCTTTCCAGCTAATGATGAAAGATCATCATTCATTGTTTCAGGTTCAGGTATTGATGGTGATGGATTTGTACATGTACGAGAACGAAATGTTTGACCTGTGCCACATGTTTTCGTACATTGTGTCCAATCCGACCATGATGAAAATCCACCATCGACTTTAAGAAAACAAATACATATATTTTATTGAATAAAAAAAGAAAAGAAAATCTTACCGATACATCTTGCAACAACTGCAAATAATTCACTTATATCGCTCAATCCTAATTTTCGATCATATTTGCAATCATAAAAATCTTTTTCTGTGCCATCACATAAAATACCAGGATAACAAGTAGAATTAAATCGAATTGGATTAAGAAAAGCTAAAATAAAATAAATAATATTCATAAAAATGAATTCGATTCAATTTTATTTACCATATTGTGCACCACGTGAAAGACCAATTGATTTACAAACCTTAATAATAATAATAAAAGCAAAAGAAAATCTTTCAAATTCTATAATATGATTTTTTTTTTCTCTTACTAAATCAGCCATATGTTTTGCCATTACTGAACTATTTTGTGGTACACATAAAATATCTCCTTCTCGAATAGCTAAATATCCTTTTAATGGATAATTTTCTGGTTCAGTTTGTTTTATTCCTAATAAGAAAATATATATATATATGTAATGAATATATATATTTATATTACCTGCAACACGTTGACAATTGGCTTCTCCACAAGCTCTTTGTTCATGTGTATAATTACCACAATTTGAACCTGGTGGAATACATGAACGATTACGTTGTTTTAAACCAATACCACAAAATGTTGAGCATGGTGTCCATTGCGTCCATGTACCATAGACTTAATTAAATATAAAATAAAATTCATTTAAATAATTTTAAAAAGAAAATTTTACCTGGACAAGTTGTTATATCGCATGGTTTTGTTTCTATATTTCGCCCAATACAATTATCAGTTGAAATCTTTCGAGTTTTATCATTAGATGATAAACATTCACGTTTACGAAATTGATAACCTTCACCACATGTTACACTACATGGTGACCAATCGTTATAATCTGCCCATACATTATTTTCTATAAATTAATACGAAACAAATTAGCTCTTACATTTAGCAAAACAAAAAAGAATATTCGAACCTATCTTATCACAATCATCAGGTGTTGATTGTCCATTTAAACAAACACAACTTGGTACTTTTTTACCATTACTATCATAATCAACACAAATGGCACCCGGTTTACATTTAACTTTGTCACAAACATTTGGTTTAATTTCTTCTCGCTAAAAGGAAATATATTTATTTTTATAAAATTCAAAAATTTAACTAAACTTACTAATTTAATGATATCCAAACTAACAGTTTTAGTTGAATCTTCATATAATGAACATATTTTATTTGTTGCATTATATGCATAACCTGTACATATTGATTGATCTTTTACACATTCAATAGCACATTGATATTCATTTAATAATTCAAAATCAATATACGATATTGATTTTAAAAGATTTGAAGATGTTAATCGTAATTTATTTAAAGTTTCTGCATCAAATTTTATCAAATTTTGACCATTACTATTCGTAAGAGTAGGAAATAGAAGAAGAATATTGAAGTAAAATAATATGAGCCACATTATCGATATCGTGCTGAGTGAATGAATGAATGCATGAAACGAGAAATATAACTAACAATAAAATATGATAAATTCCTAAGAGAATGCATTGTTTTAGTTTTGTTTATGAAGAATGTTGGTTATATTCTCTATGACGACACGATTAATTGATTTTCTAGTATTATTAATCTTAAAACTATTCTCATGAGAAACGATTGATATCGCATATGAATGATTTATTCTTGTTAGAAAAAAAACAATATACATACCTGAATTATGATTTGGAATGAACTCGAACTTATATGATCTCTATAGAAATAGAATACTTAGGAATCGAGGAGACCTAAGTTAATTAAATTTTAGATAAAATGTTTGCTCATTGTTAACTAACTAGAAAGTATTTCCCATAAGTTAAAAGTTATCACCTAGAATGTCAATATTGATGAGTGATTGCTTCTGAGTTGTCGAAAATATTTTGTTTATTAAATAAAAATGTATTTATTCAATCAAAATCTAATTAAAAATAAAACTCGTATTAAATCATCTAATTAATCATTATGAACAGTCATATAATAAAGACATCCTTTTAGACCGAGATCATCATCATCAATTAAAGTAAGTGGAACACGTGCAACTACTTCACTCATTTTTGTTCCTTGATCTAAATAAGATTTAAGTAAAAGATTATTTGGATTATTTTTCCATCGCCAAGCTAATTTAGGTAAAATACCACCAGTTATATATAATCCACGATAAGATAAAAATGTTTGTGCTGCTGTACCCAGTACTCGACCAAAAACATCAAGAAATGTATCAACAACTCGAAGACATAATGCATCATTATAATCACAAGCATGTTGAGATATAACTGCAGGTGCCTCATCTTGTGAAACTTGTTGAAGATCATTTGCAAGTTGTATTGTTAATGGTTGATTTAAATATTCGGAATAAAATTGTAACATTGCAACAAATCCTGGACCAGATACAATTTGTTCAATTTCAATAAATGATTGATTACGACGTAAATATTTTAATAAAAACCATTCTTCTTCAGTTTGAGGACTAAATGTATCAACCATACCTGCTTCCGATGAATAAACTTGATATCGACCGAAATTATCAGGTGTAAGAAAACATGCACCAAGACCTGTACCTGCTCCAAGACAAGCTACTGGTGATTTTGTGTCTGTACCATCTTCAGTAAGAACTTTATGAAGTACAAATGTTTTTGTTGATTGACATAATTCATGTGCTTGAGAATCGACTTGTGCAGCAAGACAATAACCAATAGCTTCAAAATCATTTAAAAATATCACCGAATTTGATTTGAGTTGTAAATCATTTTCAATAGTATCTGCATGTTGTGTTGGCCATCTAGCACCATCGGGTTCCATACGAACATTATTTGCATCATTACTTCGACGATTATTCCAAATAGGACCACATACAGCTAAAACCACTCGAATACTACATATATAAATAATAATATAAAATTATCATCTTTTTTTTAATATTTACACATTTACTTTTTATTTTTTATAGCATCAAGCACATCTTCTTGTTTTTCTTCATTTTGAATATCATTTATAAAACGTTGTAATATAACATGATGACCTGTAAATGTACTTGTTCGATAAGTTTGTCGAGTTATAAATGTGATCGATGGCGTTAATAATGTCTGATTATGACTATACCATAATAATTGTAATCGTGCATTAGTGCCACCAATATCACCAACAATAACAGCACAAGATTTTGACATGTTTTGTTTTTAAAATCAACAGTTGAATAAGACTGTTACGATTACAAATAAACTGATATCTCGTTATTTTTCTTGGCTTTTGTTATTTATTGACACAAGATAAATGTTATCATCAGATGCATTCTTTTTTCTTTTATTTTGTTGACCTTCAACTTTGATTTTTTATTTTCCTCAAATAATCTTTTAATACACTTTTATTGATCAATCACTATTGCATATGCTTTGTAGTATATAGAATGTATGTGCGTCTATTCTCATAATAGTAATCAATATTTGCACGATGATCGCCTAGGACGAAATACTCTAATAAGAATAGAATATTTTTGTTTTTCAATGTAGATCTACTTTTTATTATTAATGAATAGATGTGAATTATATTTAATTAAATTAAGAAAAACTTATTATGATGTACCCAAGCAAAAAAAAAACAGAAAAGAACGAATTTATAATTTTGAAATTAATTTTTTTTTTGCCAATCCCATCGTGGTGGTAATGCATCAGAATATTCAGCTTTATATTGATTTTCTTCAATATATTTTTCTAAATCTTTTGGTTTTGGATAATGTGCAGCTAATTTATGTTCATAAGAATATTCTGCTAATGCTACAGCAATTTTTCTTGATACTGCATGAATTTTTTCAATTGGTGGATAAACAAGACCAGCTGCTAAATCTTCTTCAGTTACTTGTTCCGAAAGTGTTTTAGCGGATATATAAAATAATTCTTCAGGTATATGTCGTATACCACATGTTACAATAGCAAGACCAACACCAGGAAATATATATGAATTATTTCCTTGACCGGGTATATAAGTTTTTCCATTATAATCAACATTTGGAAATGGTGAACCAGATGCAAATACACATTGACCTTTGGTTGCTTCATATGCTTCACTTGCAGTACATTCAGCTTTTGATGTAGGATTTGAAAGTGCAAATATAACTGGATGTTCATTAAATGAAGCCATATCTTCAAGAATTTCACGTGTAAATGCTGGACCTTGACCGGCAGCACCTAGAAATTGACGAAAATTTATTATGAAGATTTTAATAGAAAATATTTCGATTTACCAATAAGAAATGATGGTTTTAAAGCTTTAACAATTTCTCCTAATTTAACAATACATTCACGTTCATGTGCATATCGTTTTTTTTCTTCATTTAAACCACCAGTTGGACGATCCTAAATATTAAACAAAGTTTATCATCATAATTACATCAATTATAATCATTTCTTAATACAATGTGACAGTAAATATAATGTAATAAAAATAATTATTTCATCTTTTGTCATTTATTTTCATAATCCCAGTCGATAATAACGAACACTTAGTTTTTATCTTATTTCCTAGATGATCTCAATAGAAAGTAATTATTATTCTATTTGAAAAGGAAATTGTTCTTTGTATTGTTTGTTATGAATAGAAATAAAACAAAAGTTTCCCTCTTTTTATTCATAAACTTACTTTAACAACAAGTCCTTTTGAATCAACTAAGAATATTTTCTTTCGTGCATCTTCAACTGATACACCTTCACGTTCCATTGCTACGACAAGTAAATCCGACATACCAATTGAAGCCTAGTTTTTTTTTTGTTAATAAAATAAATAAATAGAAAAATATTTTTTAATAAAAATAGTTTATCATACTTCGCCAGCACCGTAAAAGACAAATGTATTATCGGATAATTTTCGTCCAGTAATACGGAGTGAACTGAGTATGCCTGCGACAGCAACACTAGCTGTACCTTGGATATCATCATTAAAAGTACAATAATGTTCACGATATTTTTCCAATAAACGAAATGCATTATGATTCTAAAAAATTCAATTTTTTTGTTTTTTAGTATTAAACGCTTTCTTTTCAATAAACTTACAGCAAAATCTTCGAATTGAATTAAACATTGTTGTCCAAATCTAAATATGAATATTTTATAATTAATAAATTTTTATAATCAAATAATATATTTTACCGTTTAACAACAGCTTGCATAAATTCATCAATGAATTCATCATATTCTTTTCCAGTAACACGTTTATGTTGTAAACCCAAATAATATTTATCTTTAAGAAAAGTCTTTCAAAAAAAAAAGATTATAAAAGAACATTACAGAAGATTTTTACATACTTCATTATTTGTTCCAACATCAAGTGTTATTGGTAAACAATATTCAGGTGCAACACCAGCTAATGCTGTATATAAACTTAATTTACCAACTGGTATACCCATACCATTACAACCTAAATCACCTAAACCTAATATACGTTCACCATCAGTAACAACAATTGCCTAATAATACAAAATATTTTAATAGGAAAAAATAAATTTCACAAACATACGCGAACATCATGTATAGGCCAGTTGCTAAGAACATCATAGATATGACCTTTATCATTGATCGATATAAATAAACCTCTATAAAATTGTATATAGAAAAGCTAAAAATGTTTTTCAATAGAAATTTACTTTGGTTTTGAAAAAATTAAACCATATTTTTGGCAAGCTAAACCCACAGTTGGTGTATAAACAAGTGGCATGATTTCTTGTGTATATGTCATAGCTACACGATAAAATAATTTTTCATTACGATCTTGTAAAGCAGCTAATGCAATATATCGTGATAAATCATCGGGCATATTTCGTAAATTATCCATAAATCGTTCAACTTGTAATTCAGGTGTTGCTACTGTTGGTGGCAATAAACCATGAATACGATATGTTTGTCGTTCTTCAATTGAAAATGCTGTACCCTAGATAATAATACAATAAATATGTTAGTTAAATAATTAATTATTTAAAAATATTCACTTTATTAGCACGTCGATCAAGTAAAACATCATAACCGGTGAGAAATCGTCGAGTAGTCATTTTATAATCACTGTTGTTATTAGTGCGATTTAATAATATTCGTTCTTCTAGAAATAATAAAATTAGAAAGAGAGAGGAAAAAAAAGTAAATTTTGTGAATATTCGACTTTATATTTTAGTAAAATTTGCATGCCTTTATATTCAGTGCAAAAATCTACCATTTATTAAGTATAATATAGACGAAAACAGTGAAGATAGAGAAATGTGTTGGCTTTTATATTGACTCAAAGGGTGTGAGGCCTATGCGCATCTTTCTTGGGCAATGACGGCAAATATTTATTTTTTTCTAGAGAACTAGTTGACGAGATGAGATGCTTTTTTCTTTTCTTTTTCAACGCAGACAGAACGCAAAAATACGAGGAAAAAATATATTCAATTACAGAAATCTTATTTTTCATATTTAGAATTTTCATCCAGATTTCTCTATCAACGTCATGAAAATTTTAATAATAATAATATATAATTGTACTAAATTGTTTTGTTTACATCATTTAAATAAGTTAAAATTCCATTAGTGACTAACATTGTTTTTTACTTTTTTTCATCAATAACAATCGCATTTTATTTTATTTTTTTTTTCTACTCCTATGAAAAATAACGCCGATATTTTATCTTTTTTTATGCTATACCTGAAAGATAAAAAAACATGAATTAAATCTATAGAATGAAAGAAAGATATCGAGGTAGTCTTATATTGCATCTAGTAAAAACTAACTATAATAAAAAAAAAGAAAGAAAGAAGTGAGATTTACTACTTTGATAAGTTGTTGAAGCTTTTGTTCGACTTATAATTGAACGTTGAAATAAAGACCATGATAAATATGGATAAATTTGATTGATTTTCATAGTTGGTTTGACAAACATTATTTCAATATATCTTGATAATAATAGTGAAAAATAAGTACAAATATAACATAAAAATGAAAGAAAATGAACGAATGTTTTGCTTTTTCTTCCTCTTCTTCCTCTTTGTCAAATATGATTTAGATTTTGATAGGGTGAAAAATATGAAAAAAAACGGATAGTCTATCACACTTTCTTTGAAAATAAAAATAATAGGATTGAGAATGAAAAACAAAAAGATATTCTATCTATGTCTTATTTTTAAATGAATTTAAGACATATCTATATATATTCTAAAATTAACTGATCGTAAATATAATAGAAGAAAGGAATCGTCATACGGATGGGAATAGGTGTGTCTGTTTTCTATTGACTTTGTCTGGTGATATGATCCATTTAAAATTATATTGTCTTTTCAATACTTATAAGTGTTTTGAAGAAAAAAAGAGAGTGGGAAGGTATAGTCTAAATCATGAAAAATAAACATTCAATGTATGACACACCTTAATCTATATTTGGAAATATATTACTTTTTCATGTTTGTTGTTCTCAATTCTTCCTTTTTAATGTATGTTGGCAATTTATGTGACAAACAATAAGGGATAAAAACATATTTATATTTCGAAATTTTTTTGCACACGCCTAATCTTATTATTCCAAGTTAAATTTGATATTATTTGAGAATATAAGATCGAACTTTGCTGAAAAGTTAACTAAGTTTTATTTCGGAATTCATATAGATTTATATCTATTGAATAATATTATTATCTTACAAACGAAAACAAATGTTTATTTAGTATTAATTTCTATATCTGTCTTTTTAGATAATGTTTATCATTAATTTATTGAATACGATGAAGTTTAAAACGATAATTTAATGTATTATCTTTATCACAAAGTGATACAATAATTCGTTTTCCTGAGACTTGTAATCGTTTCGCATATGAATAACAAGGTCGGATATAAAAATGATTTTGATTATTAATTTTTTCAAATGTAAATTTTGAACATGAACGTGATGATTCTTTTCGATGTGTTGAAAGTATTGATGATGGTAACCAATGTTCTTCTTCATCATAACATATTAAAACTGTTAAACGACATTGTGTTTGTTCATTATATAATTCATATTCAAGACAACATTGATCATTATCATATTGTTTTAGAACAAAAATATGTTCACGATGTAATCGTTTTGAACTTGTACATATATCATTTTTACTATCAATTAACCATTCACCTGTTGAAATACATTCTATCATATATAAACCATTCGAAAGATAATCACTTTCAGAATATTGTTTTAATAAAATAAGATCATTTATGGATGATAAATGTAATTTAAGTGATGATGCTATTGATAGATTTTGAAATTGTTCATCGGTAGATTTATTAAGTAAACGAAGGCTAATTGATTCACCAACAATATTATTATCTAATATAAATCTTAATGATAAAAGTTGTGAATGTATTAATTGAGCTACATAATAACGAATATCGTCTTTTTCTGGATAACAATAAATATTTAAGATTTTCAAATATGGACAATGGTTTTTTATTGATTTTATATAAGTTGATAAAGAATATGGATGACCAATTGATAAATAATGAAGATTAGAACCAATGGATGGTAAAACAGTTGATAAACAATATTGAAATATAATATTATTATTTGTTTTTGTTAAATCAAATTGTTTTCCAATAAAATATTTAACAATTAAGGAAAAATAATTATTTAATTCGAAAAATGAATAAACAATATGTTCTTTATAAAGATATTTAAATATCAAATAAATGATTTCTCGTGGTAAATTTATCAAAGATATTGTTGGCATTATAATTGTATAATAGGAGAGAAAGAGAACAAAACGATATAAATCAGTCCTTTTTTATGTTGATAGCGGATATCAAAGTACAAAGAACAAAGGCAAATACAGTTCGTTTAAAAGCATTGATAACCTTCATAGGATTGTTAATATTACATTTAAAATAAAGTCTAGATTAGCAAATAAAAGAACATTTGAATGAAAATCCTTGAATCTTAATGTCAATATTCAGCACATTTCAAACATATTTTAGGCTTTTTTTCTTCATTAGATAACAGTAATAGATTATTGTTATCTGTTTAAATAAATAAAAAAATGATAGATAAAGTTAGAAAAAGAATTATTTTCATACCAGATGACAAAGAAATAGAATGAACGAATGAATGGAAAAATTATGAAATATTGCTATTTTTATGAGAATGTTAGTTTTTTATTTGTGTGTGTGAGAAAAAGAAATGACAATTAGAAAGAGAAGAAACAGAATAATAATGTGTTTTCTTTCAAACAGGAAATTATTTTTAGTTACTGGTAGATTAATGGAGTATTTTCATTCAAAATAATCTCTTCTTGTCGGTTGAGAAATAAAATATTTACCAATAGAATGTCTCTATAGAAAATCATAACTATCTGATATAATGATAAATATTGATTGAAAATGAAATCTTTATTCTAAGAAATCGAAGTTCATGGAAGAATCAATTTGAGTTATTATTCATTCAGATACGTGGAAAGAAGACTTTGAAAAATCATTTTTAATATCTTAAATTTTATATCTATATTCGAACCACTGTATTTAAATGATAATATTAAAACATTTTTTCTAGTTGAGCCTAAAACTGTTCGTACGTGAAAATATCGTAGCATATAAATTAATAATAATAATGAGTAAAATTCTTTGATCAATAGTTTACATTTACATAATAGAAAACAAATATTTTCTCTATTTTGAATTATTTAGTATTGTGTATAACTTGTAGATAGATTTTATTTTTATTACTATTGATATAAACCATGTCTATCCACATACTGAATTTAGATATTTATGTTTTTACTTTTGACAATAAACATATTTTGTTTTTTTTTATTCTTAGAATACTTATTTTTATCAAATTTTATGACCTTTTATATCTGAATAAACTTAAACCTTAGACAATTGCATTTTTATAGATGGTTATCAAAATCTATATAAATCCTACTCAATATTGGATTGTATTTTAGCATCATTATATAAGCTATACATATACATATTCGTTATCAAGAATAATCAAATGGCTAGCAGTGGTATTGAAGGACTCAAAGGTACTTGGGATTATGTATGTATCAGATGTTTTCATATTCCATTGGTTTTAATATATTAATATTTATCATAACAGGTTGACGGTGAACATTTTGATGAATATATGAAAGAACTTGGTGTTGGATTTGCCACACGTATGGCTGCTAAAGGAATCAAACCTCGTCTTGTCATTAGTGAAAATAATGGCAAATGGACTGTACGATCAGAAACTTCACTAAAAACAACATCCTACGATTTCACACCTGGTGTTGAATTCAATGAAACAACACCTGATGGACGTGAAGTTAAAGTATGATTAGATTTTTATATACTTTCAATTCTTACTAATATATATTTTGTAGTCGACTATTAAATTTGAAGGTAACAAATGGGTTCATACAACAATTGATAAAAGTGGAAAGAAATCAGTTGTAACACGATATATTGATGATAAAGATCAACAAATGATTGTAAGCTTATTTTTCATTTTATCTCGTTTCCTATTCTAATAAATTCTATAATTTTCTTGTAGGATATGGAATGTGGTTCAGTTAAAGCTCGTCGTTGGTACAAACGTGCCTAATAAAACACTTCTTTCAATTAACTGACACTATTTATATTTTCGTTTATCATATTAATTTCTAAATATATTTGATAATAAAATAATATTTTGTACTAAGCAAGATATGACTTATTAATAGACTTACAAGAATTCTAATTATTTTCAATGTCATCATGACAAAATATTCATTAGAAAAAAAAATATGTTCTTTAACCCTATTGCTTCTGGCGATACAGCTATGTCTGGAAATGTCTTAATCGATTAAAGACTGTATTAATATATGTTTTGATTGTTGAGAAAAGTTTTTATCCTGGCTAAGCGATACAAAACGTTTTTGAACGGTTAAATACTATACTACTGATATGTTTATCTAATAAATACACTCAGACGTATTTTTACGTTGTCGAGAGTCAACGGATATTTATTCGTAAATAGTAGTTATCTTGAATTATATTATCGATTTTTTGTAAATATACTATTTTTTCTTTGTTTTATGTTGTTCTCAATAGTTCCTTCAAAAACATCTAATTTATTAATAACTCGACCTTTTTGTTTTTCCTCATAAATTTTGACGGAAAACAGATGTTCATTATATATATATACATCTGCACGTTAGATATAATATATTTATAACTGTTAGTAGAATAGAAAATATAATCATTTGATTTTTCTATCGAAAGAATCTTTTTTCTGATGTGAAAAATAATTTGAAAATAAGATATATAATAATATTTTTGCCTATAAATTGTTTCTTTTTTCTGTCATGTTGTTACATACTTAGTCTTTCTGAGTAGTCGCTTAGTGATCCATTCTTCTTTCCTATTTATTCATAACATTAACGTGTCTATATGTCGAACATTAAAGCTCAAAAGACTTTTGATGAATGTTTGGCTGTTGTTTTCAACCAATTATAAAACACAATTCTTCCACTTTTATTCTCATCCGTTTTTATCTTATTTTTATTCTGTTTTTTTTCCTTTCACTATATTCTAATTTAAAGCATCTTAATTCTTCTAAAATTCTTTATTTAATTACAAAATATTCGTAGAATTTCTTTCAGATTCTATTTATATCTACTAATTATTATAAGAACAATATGACAAATAGTGGTATTGAAGCACTCAAAGGTACTTGGGACTATGTATGTATTGAGAAAATATTGTATTCTATTAATTTGATATATCAATTTTAGGTTGATAGCGAAAATTTAGATGAATTTATGAAAGAACTTGGTGTTGGATGGGCAATGCGTATGGCAGCTAAAGGAGCAAAACCTCGTCTTATTATTAGTGAAAATAATGGTAAATGGAATATTAAATCAGAAAGTACCTTCAAAACAGTTTCATATGATTTTACACCTGGCATTGAATTTAATGAAGTAACACCTGATGGACGTGAAGTTACAGTAAAAATAGTTTTCTATATTTATTCAAAATGGTTTTGTTATTTTTAGACAATTATTAATTTTGAAGGTAATAAATGGGAGAACGTAACAATTGATAAAAGTGGCAAAAAATCTCTTGTAACACGGTATGTCGATGATAAAGGTCAACAAATTATTGTAAGTCATTGTTCTGTTGTTTTTTTCTTTACAAAGGTAATATAACTTTTACAATAGGATATGGAATGTGGTTCAGTAAAAGCTCGACGTTGGTATAAACGTGCTGAATAGATATATACTATGATGAATATTAACAACAATAGGAATATTATTTTATCAATCTCATTTATTTTTAATAATAAGTATAGTCATATTAATTGATGTCTTGAAATTTGTTAATACATTCTATTCAACAACCTAAATTTTGTTGTTGAAATTTATTTTTTTAATAGGCGAAATAATACGTTCAATTATGTGAATTTCGTCATTTTTCTTGACTTGTTATGAATGTATTTGTTTTTATTCAACGTCAAATAAATTATAATATTATTTTTTAGAACTAATTTTCTCATTTTATTGTTATTTTCTAATATCTAATAAAAATAACACTTATCAAGACAATATTAATCGGATATATATTAGTAACGGAACTAAAGAGTGGCTGAGAGGAGGTCACAAGTCCTTCCGGAAATTCTACTGGCTTAATTCTGAATATACATGAAATCGAAATCTAATTTAATAAATAGTAGATTTAAAAAAAAAGAATCAAAATCTTTTACAGCTAAAATTTAATATTTATAGAATATTCTTTTCGATTAGTGTTTAACTGCAGCCAAAAAGAACATTCGTTGCTCTTTACTCATCTCAAATATGAAATAATTAGCAGATACGTTTTTTTTGAATCAAAAAGGATTATAAATTCAAAATTAAAATCTATATAATGAATACACAAAATTCAAGATAATGCAATGAAAACAAATTAACAATGCTTTGACAGGCGTAAACGTGCCTGATAATTATTTCATACTTGAGATAAGTATACTTCTCACTTGACAAATACATCAGTTAAGTTCGAATTTTAAATCATACAAGAAAAATTAAATTTCATTCTATTATACATAATATTACTGTAACATTTTTTCTTTTCTAAATGCTATAGACTTGTATTACGAACAATACTTAGTTCACCGTTTTCTTTCATAAAAGATTATTTATTAAAAACATCAATCAAATAAAGCATAAATTGATGAATGATAGCAGATAATTTTTATTTTGTTTATATCATAGATCAGAAGCACTTATCATCGAAATACTTAAAAGTATGAATTGGACAACCTGTGTTTTATCGGTTAAGATGATGTAAGTTTATTTTACTTCGTCTCATCACTTGTTATTCCTTTCATATTATATCTATATGCTACATAATATATATTTACTCTTAAAAGTTTGACTTTGTCTTTCTCTATAAAAATAACGCTAAGACGTGCCCATATTGATTTGAAGGGTATGTATGTGTGCTTATTACTGTGTGCCGTACTTTTCAACCAATTGTAATCTTAGTTCTCTCATTTTTACTCTTATCATCTATCTCTTGTTATTTTTTTCTAACCACTTACATATTTAGACAACCTTCGGCCTTCTTCAAAAAAAAAAGAAAAAAAATTATTCACCTCGTCAACTGATATAAAAACGTTGATAAATCTTCTTTACAATTTTATTTCGTGTCTAACATTATTCTTCATAACTAGATAATTCTAAACAATGGCCAGCAGCGGTGTTGAAGGACTCAAAGGTACTTGGGATTATGTATGTATCAGATATTTTTATATTATTTCAGTATAATATTTCAACATATTTAACTATAGGTTGATGGTGAAAATTTTGATAGTTACATGAAAGAAATTGGTGTTGGATTTGCAACACGTACGCTTGCTAAAGGAATCAAACCTCGTCTTGTCATTAGTGAAGCTGATGGTAAATGGACCGTACGATCAGAAAGTTCACTTAAAACAGTTTCATACGATTTTACACCTGGTGTTGAATTCAATGAAACAACACCTGATGGACGTGAAGTTACAGTATGATTGTATTTTTATTTACTTTCGATTGTTACTAATATATATATATTTTGTAGTCGACAATTAGTTTCGAAGGTAACAAATGGGTTCATACATCAGTTGATAAAAGTGGAAAAAAATCAGTTGTAACACGTTATATTGATGCTGAAGGTCAACAAATGATTGTAAGCTTATTTTTCATCTTAACTCGTTTTCTATTTTAATAAATTCTATAATTTTCTTGTAGGATATGGAATGTGGTTCAACTAAAGCTCGTCGTTGGTATAAACGTGCTTAAATAAATCAAATTATTGAACATTTTTATAAAAAAAAAAATTTTTTGAAATATCTTTTTGTGCAATTTTAGTTATATTTATATAAGTATTTCTTTTGTGTATTAATAAAACTAAAGTAACATCACATATTTGTTTTTCTTTTCTTCAAAAAATATACATATTAAAGTTCGTGAAAGATAGATAGAAAGAACATATTTTTGCATCATGAAAATAGAAGAATATTAATGGAATGTATTCTATTAAAGACAAAATATAACATATACTTTGCTTCAAGTTTAAAAATATTTCAATGTTATGTAGAGTAAAGAATGATAAAAGTACGAAGTACGAACTATTGCAGTTAACATACTTGATTAACTATACTCGTGATATCAAATAAACTTGATATTACCTTTGGATATATGTTTGTAGGCATAAAATTTAATAATTCATAATCTATTTAGCACATAACAATCAACAATAGTTCATAGACGAACAGTATATTGGGACAATCAGACCTAAATTCTAGTTCTACCGTAAACATTTTCTTCTATTAAGTTGTATTTTGAGAACTATGTCGTTCTCTACCGTCAATTATAAGATATAAAAAGATATAGAATTAAATATTCAATTGAAAATTATATCTGTTGTCGCTTTATATAAGATACATGATCTTTAAAAATATACAATCTGACAATCCAAGATAAAAAAAACAAGATTAAAGTTAATTTTACTCAATATTGAATACCGTTAAGGTTTTTTTGATCAATATCTTGAATAAATTGTTCATAAGAGTCTTTTTTTATGTATGTCAAATAAAATCTATTCACGTTGATTTTGCATACGATATATTTCTTGTAAACTTTCATTATATAATTTTTTCAACTGTCGATTTTCTTCTTTAAGTCGTTGTTGTTTTTGTTGATAATCAAGTGTTAAACGTTGTAAACGAATACGTTTTTTTGCTATCTGTTCCCATTCAGTTTGAAGTGATGAAATAAGTTGTTCATGTTCATTTTCAAAACGATTAGTCGTATCACGATATATTAATTGAAGTTGAGCAACTTGTTCATTATTATTCAAAGTTAATGTTGGTGATATAATAGTAGTTGATTGTGGCGGAGAGATTTTAAATATTCCACGTGATCTTAATAATAAAGAAAAGAATAAATATATATATATATCGGCAAAACAAGTCATTCACGGGCTTTAATTTTTTACAAGGATATGAATTCATTTAGCATAGATCTATGTAATGTTTCGCGTAGATTAGCTATAGAAAGATTCTCTATTCCTGAGATATGCATGTTTCAATTTTGTGAAGTTACATAGCTAATAAATAATTTCGCTCATATATATATATATTTATACAATTTACTTTAATCGATATTGAATTCGACGTCGAGCTTGTTGCTCATCAGCACATTTTTCTATTTCAATCATTTGATTATTAATAAAATGTGGACGAGATAAACAACATATATCAACTGAATCATAATCTTCAAATTCAACTAAACTTGCTTTTTCATCTAATTTTTCTAAACGTATAATTTGACCACCAGTTGATTTTAAATATTCAGTAATTATATTATTATTCGGTAATATTTCATTATGATTTTCTCGAGGAATACGTACAAGCATTTTATTTGTAGTTGTATGTCCTTCATATGGATAACGTCGTGTAATTGGCAAACAACGACGTACAAAAAGTTGATAATCATTTATAAAAAATGGACGTTTAGCCATAATTTTATCAACAATTTCTCGATTTTCAAATATTAAAATTGCAAATGGACTAGGTAATAAAGTAGGTGAATTTTTTGACATACGATGTTTTAAATATAATTTGATAATAATACCAAACTGATCAAAAATATCAGTAATTTGTTTAGAATTGACATCATTAGGTAAATTTCCTATATGAATTTGTTTATGGAATGGTTCAAGAGATTGATCGATATATGCTGGCATTGATAATGAAATAATACAAAAATTAATCTAGAATATAAAACATATTCATCAGTATGAAAATAAACACATCAATTTTTATTTTATCTGTTAGATATGATTGATATTAAAAGAAGTAAGATGATGATAAATACGAACTTTGTCAAGTATTAAATTCATACAAGAAATGTCGGTATTTCAAGTGTTTTAGCCAACTCCGCGATATCAGAACAACGAAATGTTTAACATATAACTACAATCAATGAACTTTTTGTTTTCATCAACAATAAGATATGTGTGTATACTTATAAGTATCTTAAATCATCCTTTTCAACCAATTGAGATCTTATATGAATAAATCAAATTATCGTTCAATTCTTTGTAACATGAATTTTAATTTTTTTTCTTTTAAAAAGATATGTCTAATTCATCAAAACTAAAAAATAGGTACGTATGTTTCTACATTTGACTTAAGAAATAAGATTGAAACTGAGATATTTTATTTATACTTTTCCATCAGTTATTTCTAATCCACTGAAAATCAATAGAATAAATATATTAGTCGCATTAGTGATTTATCTAGGTAAGCAAAATATTCATAAGAAACAAAGAAATTAATTTTTTTTAAGTTTATTTTTATGATAAGAATAGTTAATAATATTCGAAACCAAAAGATAAATAAATTGCGCTAATAAATCACAGTTTCAATGCTCGAACATCGTCATTACGAAAATCCGTTCTAAACAAAAAAAAGAGCAAAAAATAAAAATTATTCGAAATCACATTTAAATTCATTATAATTACCGTAAATTAAGAATTTGTCGTACTTCCGATGGAGTTAAACGCCAAGTAATTTTACCCGATGTTGGATCCCAATAATCATGAATTTCTTTCAGCTAAAATAAACAATAATATCTAATTAATCAATTTCTTTATTGAATCTACTTTTTCAAGAGTAAGTAATGTTGCAATTTGTGTAAGACGTTGAAATTTATCACGGATAGGAAGGCTAGTAGCATTTGTTAAATATATCATTAATGATCGAACTTCTTTATCAAATTGAAGACCACCCAACTTAAAACATATCACAAAAAATATACATAGAATTATTTCATTTAAAATAATATACAACATACTCGATTATAACCACATTTAAAAAGAACTTTTTCCCACATTGTAACTATTTCATTTGCTGATGCACTTACCAATCGATCATAATTTGCTGTACTTAAAACACTCTAAAAATCAATTCAATATTATTCATAATAGACTAATTCTATTTTTCAAAGAATTAGCACTGATGCCAACATCGACAAAAAGATCTTCGCATAATCAGAAAATCACGGGTGCTGAGGCTAGCACTTTCAGTATCTCAGAGGATGAATACACTTGAATTCAAAAGACGCAAACTATCAAATTACTTTAAATTGAGCAAATAATAAATCAACTTGTACAATAAAATTTTGTATAAATGGATCATTAGCTTCAAATTGAGAAAATTCATCCTACGAAGAAAAGTCCAATTAAGAAAAACGAAATCATTTTCTTTTTTTTTTTACTTCAGATAATTTATGATTAACTGTTATATAAATATCCATAAGTGTTTTAATTCGAGGTTTTATTGCACTTGCAGATAATTGTTGACAAGCAAGTTCAATCAAATCTTTAAAACGATTAGCAACTGAATTCAATTCATTTAAACAACTCTAAAAAATAAATTCATTTCTTTTTAAAAATAAAATAAATAACAAAAATATTCTTACATCTATTTTTGTTTTATTATGTTCATTTAATGTTAAACTTTTTTTTAATTCTTCATCAAGTAAATTTTTTAATGTATGTAAATTTCCATATGTTGTTTCAACATTATTAAATGTTGTTAAAAATATTTGTTTTAATTTTTCAATATCATTACCTTGTAATTTACCTAATTGAATACTTGATTGAATAACTGTATAGGCTTGTGATAAATCAAATCCAGATGGATAACCAGCTTTCAATCGTACATATAAATGTTCACGATAAACTGAATCAAGTATACTTACAGCATGATTTAACATAGCACATATACCTTCAACATTTGCACTTGATGTTGATCGTCTATAGGAATAGAAAAGAGTTTCGAAAAAAAGGAAAATTTTTTTTATAAAAGATTTACTTTAAACATTTTCGTAGAATAAAAAAAACATCATCAACCATATTTGGTGAATCAATTATAATAGCTTTATAAATACTTTCACGCATAAAATAATCTTCAATTGTAATATATTGATTAATAAATGCATGTAATATACGACTTAAACCCGATTGATTTACAAATTTTTCAATTTCTTTTAATTGTTGTAAACAAGCATCAGTTTTAACATTATCAACTAATGGATAAGCAGCTTCACAATCAGCATTTAAACGACGACGTATAAAACGTAAATATAATTCACAACTTGCATTGATTAACGTAATTTCAGCGAGAAAATCATCTAATTCACGTGGATCAGGTTTATCAGCTGATGATGAATCGGATTGATTTAAATTAGTTAATGTTGATGAATTTTGTATACGACGATATGTATTATCAAATTGACGCTTAGATTTATATGAACTCATAGCATGTTCAACTTGTGTATCACAAGCAGACTGAAGCATTGAAACAAAATTAAATAATTTTCCATGACCTAATTAAAGAAAAGATAAATACGAGAAGTGAATATGAATGAACAAGCTGTTAACACAATCCCTCTAGGATTAAAATGTGAAATAGCTACCGTAACAGCAGTTACTAATGTTTCTCACGATCACAGCTCAACGTCTACTATGAATTGTGATATACATTGTTAGTAATTACTTCATAGTGTCTGTAGGAAGGGGAGGGGCTGGGCGATAGATGCAAATTTCTATCCAGAACACTTCAAGATTCCTTTTAGTTGGTGTTTCACAAAACACATATATTGGAAAGATCAAAGGTAAGAGTAATCAAGAAATCTTGGTCATATACAGGTGACTCAACAGAAGATGATGAATCATATCTGAACGCCACGACGATATTGAATAACAATAATTTACCGTAATAAGTTTCAACAAGTGGTTGATAAGTTTCGACAATATCAGCAATATATTCAAATAAACTTGTTAAATAATCTGAATATAAAACTGGATAACGTTTATGATTAAATGGTATTTCTAAAGTTTTCTTTAACATTTGTTCTCCATGATTATTTATTTGTAAACAAAGATGTTTACAAAATTTTTGTAAACCAATTTGATGTAAATTTAAAAGTGGAAAGATTTTAAAAAATCGCATTGCTTCTGGTAAATGTCCGATTTCAACTGCTTGATCAAATTTAATATTTACAATTTGTTTTAATTTTTTTTCAGCTTCTTCAAGTGAAAGTAAAGCTTGATGAAGACCACTTCCTAGAAAAAAAATGTATTTTATTTTTTTGTTATCTTCAAAATTAAAATTTTAACCTTCAGCTGGATCATCACTTAATTGAAGCGAAGTAGAATCAATATTTAAATATCGATGAATATGAGCAGCAGCCTAAGAAAAATATTTTTCTCAGTCGAAAATATATTATTTTATTTACTTGTTCATATTCTTCATCTTCTAAAGCTAATTTAACTCCATCTGTACATTTTTTTAAATCAATTATATCATTTGCTCGTCGTAAACAAGCAACAACATGTCTCTAAAAATATTCAAATTAATTAAATATAAGACTGACAAAAAAGAAGATGAATTAACTAACTTTTGTCACATCTAATTCTCGAACTTTCTTACTAATATTATCAGCTAATGCAGCAGTAAATGTAATTGTATTTGATAAATTATGTGCATCTTGTGTTATAATTTGTATTGCTGGCCTTTAAAAACAAACAAAAAGATTTTTTCTGATTTATATTTCTTTTGTTAAAACAAACACTAAATTTTTAATTGATAACATTTGTTTTTCAATTGAATCTTGATTAGAAAGTAATACCGATAATTCATCATTTAAAGTTTTCTTAAAAAATAAAATTTATTAGATATTTTAATTATATATATATAGATATATAAATCATCATACTTCACGAGTATTGAGTGTTTCTAATTCTTTTTCTAACAAATTTATATTTGTTAACATTTTTTTTGTTCTTTTGAAAAAATAAATTCAGATATTTAGCATTCAGTATAATCAAAAAAATTTCTTTATTGGAACAATTTTATCCAATAGAATCAAAGCATATATACTTATTCTTATGATTGGTTTTAGTTTGTGAAAGTTATTTCTTCATTTATTTATTCTAAACAAAATCTTTCGAAATGCTTCGAACAACAATTAGACAATTTTCATCAAAACCCACGTCTTTACGTAATGTAGCTGTTGTTCTTAGTGGTTGTGGAGTTTATGATGGAAGTGAAATTCATGAAGCATCAGCATGTTTAGTTCATTTAAGTCGTCATTCAGCATCCGTACAGATATTTGCACCAGATATGCAACAAAAACATGTTATTAATCATTTAACTGGTGAAACAATGCCTGAAACACGTAATGTTCTTGTTGAAAGTGCTCGTATAGCGCGTGGTGGACAAAGTATTTCATCGCTTGATAAACTTCAAGTTAATCAATTTCAAGCAATTATTTTACCGGGTGGATTTGGAGCAGCAAAAAATCTATCAACATTTGCTTTTGATGCTGATAAAATGACAATTGATAAGAATTTAGAAAAAATTTTAAAAGATTTTCTTCATAGTAGAAAACCAATTGGAATGTGTTGTATTTCACCAGTTATAGCAGCAAAATTAATACGAAATGTTCAATTAACATTAGGAAAGATGAAAAATTTAAATGAAAATGATGCAAAAAATTTATTTCCTTATTCCGGCTCTGTATTAACTGCAAGACAAATGGGCGCTGATACACAAGAATGTGATATTAATGAAATATGTGTTGATGAACGTCATCGACTTGTTAGTACACCTGCATTTATGAAAAATGCTCCATTTCATGAAGTCTTTGATGGTATTGGACTTATGATTGAAAAAGTTATTCAAATGATCGGAACCACTAAATAAAATCAATCTTTAATTCTCGATTAGGTTTTTTTTAGAGAAAAGAAAAAGAAGCAAAGATATTTTTAGATTGATACTGATTGGATTATATGCTTTTTCTTTTATAAATTTTAGATAATTTAATAATTAGTTTTATCAATGAGTTCATCATCAGCAACAAGTGGAATGAATTCTTCAACATCACCTCGAAGTCCAACTCGATTAACTGCAACATCATCAGAACATGTATCGATGGCTTTTATTAAACGATGTCTTACACCAAAAGCAACATGGACACATAAAGTAAAATCCACATTTTATCAATTTTGATTTTAATTTGTTTTCTTTTTTTTAGGAAGAATTTCTTGATGCTGTCTATTGGCTTCGACAAGTTGTAAGCATTATTATTGGAATTATTGTTGGTATTTTATCTGTTAAAGGTTTTCTTGGCATTATAACGTAACTATTTCTTAGATTTCTAAACAAAAAAAAGAAAGTAAATCTAATGGATTATTATAGATTTGGTATAATAAGTTCATTGATTGTTTTTATCTACGCAACAAATTTTCAAAATGTTGATCCAGAAGAATATGGTGGCATTGTTGAAATAATAAAAGAAGGTTTTATGACTGCTTTTGCAACATTTCTTGTAAGAAAAACAAAATCTTTGTTTTAATATTTTAAATTCATATTTTTTTTTATTTCTATATTAAGGTATCATGGATTGTGCTCTATTCGGCATTTCATGCTCCGGAATCTTCACTACCAACAATATAGTTATAATATGTTGTCTAGTTTTTTTTTGTTTTATTAAACTTTATGATTCGTTCTTTAGGAAAAAAAAAGCAATCTGATTTTCGTTTTCAGATAATTTTTTGAAAAAATGGCAACAAAAAAACGAAATAAAGCTTTTATGGGTATGCCTGCCCCGTTAGGTTATGTTCCTGGTCTTGGTCGTGGTGCAACTGGTTTTACAACTCGATCTGATATTGGTCCAGCTAGAGAAACAGGTGATATAAGTGATGAACGACATGCACCACCAAATAAACGTCGAGATGAAGATGATGATGAAGAAACAGATTTAAATGATTCAAATTTTGATGAAGAATATGGTTATGGTGGAAGTTTATTTAAAGTAAATTCGAATAAAATTTATCATAAAAATTATATAGAATTAATTTATTTTTATTTAGAATGATCCATATGAAAAAGATGATGAAGAAGCTGATGAAATTTATGAATCAATTGATAAACGTATGGATGAAAAACGTAAAGAACGAAGGTAAGAATAAAAATATTTTATTTAGAAAATGTAATCGTGTTTTTTTCTCGTATTATATAGAGAACGTCGATTTCAAGAAGAAAATGAAAAATATCGTCAAGAACGACCAAAAATTCAACAACAATTTAGTGATCTTAAACGCAAATTAGCTGATGTAACAGCTGAAGAATGGATGAGTATGCCAGAAGTTGGTGATGCTAGAAATAAACGTCAACGAAATCCAAGACAAGAAAAGTAATTTATTTTAATAAAGAAAATATTATATTGATTGTCTTTTCAATAGATATACACCTGTACCTGATTCGGTTCTTGCAAAAGCTGTTGCATCTACTGAGCAAGCAAGTAGTATTGATCCACGTGAACAACGATATGGCGGTTTTGATACTCCAGCTTATGGAATGTCAACACCATCAACTGATATTGAAATGGTTAAAATTGGTGAAGCACGAAATACACTTGTAAAATTAAGATTAACACAGGTAAGAATATCACCTAGGATAATAAAATCCGATGGAAATTCACCTAAATTAAATATAATTCATTGAAATATTTTAGGCTTCCGATAGTATTACTGGACAAACAGTTGTTGATCCAAAAGGTTATTTAACTGATATGGCATCTATGTTACCATCATATGGTGGTGATATAAATGATGTTAAAAAAGCTCGATTATTATTAAAAAGTGTTCGAGAAACTAATCCATCTCATCCACCAGCATGGATTGCATCAGCACGTTTAGAAGAAGTTGTTGGTAAAGTTCAAGCAGCAAGAAATTTAATTATGCGTGGAACAGAACATTGTCCAAAAAGTGAAGATATATGGTTAGAAGCTGCACGTTTAATGCCACTTGATTTAGCACGTGGAATTGTTACACATGCTGTTAGACATTTACCACAATCAGTTAAAATTTGGGTTAAAGCTGCTGATTTAGAACAAGAACCAAAAGCTAAAAAACAAGTTTTAAGACGAGCACTTGAACAAGTACCAAATTCGGTTCGATTATGGAAAGCAGCAGTAGAATTAGAAGATGAAGATGATGCTAGAATTATGCTTAGTAGAGCTGTTGAATGTTGTCCAACATCAGTTGATGTAAGTTATAATTATATTTAATTGATTTTCATATGTCATAGTAAACATATATCCAGAAGTACTATTCTATTGTTTTTTTCCTGATAGAAATCTAATAATGAGAGATTCGTAATACACTGACTGACAACAAAAAAACTTGTTTTTGTTTATCTTTATCTATGTCCATTAATTATTTAAAATAATCCGACACTGTTATATCGTAATAGTAGAATGAAATATAAGCATTTAGTTTTAGAGTATGAGCATTAAGAATACGATTGCCAATAATAATCTTACAATGTGATTGAATTAGAATCTTATTCTGTTCAAATAAAGTTCGATAGTTTAGTTTAACTTTCATATATTCAAATGATAGACTAATATTTACTATTTATTTTAGTTATGGTTAGCTTTAGCACGTCTTGAAACATATGAAAATGCACGACGTGTACTTAACAAAGCTCGTGAACATATTCCAACTGATCGACAAATTTGGATAATGGCTGCAAAACTTGAAGAAGCCAATGGAAATAATGTTATGGTCGATCGTCTTATAGAGCGAGCTTTGGCTTCATTAACTGCAAATATGGTTGAGATTAATCGTGACCATTGGATGAAAGATGCTGTTGATTGTGAAAAAGCTGGTTCTGTTCATACATGTCAAGCATTAATTCGTAATGTAATTGGTATTGGTATTGAAGATGAAGATCAATTAGAAACATGGATTGAAGATGCACAATCATGTCGAACTGAAGGTGCATATGAATGTGCACGTGCAATATATACTCATGCACGTAAATTTCATCCAACAAAAAAAGTCTTATGGTTAGATGCAGCTGATTTTGAAAAAAAACATGGTACACGTGAACAACTTGAAGAACTTTTAACAACTGCTGTTGTTAGTTGTCCAAAAGCCGAAGTTTTATGGTTAATGTTAGCTAAAAGTAAATGGTTAGCTGGAAATGTTCCAGCAGCACGAGAAACTTTATCAGCTGGATTTCAGGTAAAAATATTTTAGTTTTTGAAATAGAAAATTTATATATATATATATATAAAATATTTATTTATATAGGCAAATCCAAATTCGGAAGAAATTTGGCTTGCAGCTGTTAAACTTGAATCAGAAAATAATGAATATACAAAAGCAATTAGTCTTTTAACAAAAGCTCGACTGTAAGAATTAATATTATATTTATTTTTTTTTCTAAAGATCTATTTTATTTGTTTATTTTTTTTCTAGTAATGCACCAACTGCTCGTGTTTATATGAAATCTGTTCGTTTATATTGGTGTTTAAATGATCTTTCAGCAGCTAAACAATTATTAGATGAAGCATTAAAAGCTTATGGTGATTTTCCAAAATTATGGATGATGAAAGGACAAATATTCGCTCAACATGGTCCAACTGGTTTTGAAGCAGCTCGAGAAGCATATTTAGAAGGAATTAAACGATGTCCAACAAGTATACCATTATGGTTACTTTTAATTCAATTAGAAATTGACAATGGACAATTAATTAAAGCTCGAGCTAATTTAGAAAAAGCTCGTTTACGTAATACAATGATACCAGAATTATGGTTAGCTAGTGTTCGATTAGAAGTCAATGCTGGAAATGTACAACAAGCTAAAGTTATGCTTGCTCGAGGTTAGTTTTAATTATTTTTATTTTAAACAAAAAGAATAGATCAATCCATTAAGAACTTTTATAAATATGATCGAATGTAATACAAGACAGAGAGTTGCGATTTTCACTGTTGATAAGAAGCATCGAAACTTGTATACGACTTTATTGATTGTCGCGAGCGTTCTACAATCACCAGAGAAAGAGCAATAAAACTATGAAAAGATTTCATTTCTGATTACAACTCTTGGGAAAATCGTTAGGGAAATGTTTACATACAAGTTTCGATGCGTGTCCCTATCGAAAGTTATTCAAAAATAATACTCACCTGCCGTTTATTTTAAAATGGACAGTAAAATAGATCAATTATTTACTTTATATTTTACAAAACTTTTGTTATTCTAGGTATGCAAGAATGTCCAGCAGCAGGTATACTTTGGGCCGAAGCAATATTTATGGAAGCACGTCCACAACGTAAATCAAAAAGTGTTGATGCATTAAAAAAATGTGAACATGATCCATATGTATTAATGGCTGTATCAAAATTATTTTGGTCTGAACGTCGTATTGATAAAGCACGTGAATGGTTTAATCGTACAATTAAATTAGAAACTGATATTGGTGATTGTTGGGCAGCATTTTATAAATTTGAATTAATACATGGAACTGAACAACAACAAATGGATATTAAACAAAAATGTGTTAGTTTTGAACCAAGACATGGCGAATTATGGTGTCGTATTGCAAAAGATGTTAAAAATTGGAAATTAAAAACAGGCGATATTATAGAATTATGTGCAACACAAATGCCACTACCTAATTAACCATTTATCTTTTTCTTTTATGTTTATGCCTTTGTGTATATGTGAAATAAATATAAAAACAAGGATCGAATCGTGATTATAAAATGAATTCTTTTTTCATTGATTAATATTAGCGAATGTTAAAATTTCATTTTGATATTCTTGAAAAAGTTTATTAAATCGACTTTGAGCTATATCAGTAGCAGTTGCGTCATTCTCAATGATTTTTAAAGCTTTCCATACTTCTTTATCAAAACTATTATCAGTTGGTGATGTATTTGATTGATTTATTGATCCTTTTTCAACATAAATTCCTAATGCTTGTAATTCTATGATAACAACAAATATTGTTTTATTCATTGATGATTTGTCTATATGATTATTATAGTATGGTTTTAATTTCATAATAGCTTCATTAAGTAATTTTATATTGGTATCAAATTCACTTGCAGAAGACATAATAAATAAACTTATGTGTTGCTATGTACGAAAAAAAACGAGGAAAAAAAATTTTTTTTTATAGATTTATATACGTTCGAATGTATTATATTAGTATCGATGTAATATGAAGAGTGTATTAACGAGAAGCAGAAAAGAATATTCGATAAAGATCATGTCATGTTAACGTATGAGGTCAAGCTTATCATAACAAGTATTAAGAAAATGTGAGCATTAATGTAAATATACATATATATCCTTTGAAAAGACAGAGTCTAATCATATTTCTTTATATATATATACATATATATAAGTCATTCCACGATTTTGAACGGTTACTCATTGAACGTAATAGTATAATACTCAATCATTTGATTCAATCATTAAAACCTTGGCGTTTTTTTTCTTCTCATACATGCAAGTATGTGAAAAGAAAACACTTGACAAGGTCATCTGATTAAAACAAACCGCGCTAAATATGTTTTTTTATTTCTCGATTAAATTCATTGTTGTTATATTTAATTGTTCAAAATCATTTGTTTTCTTTTTAATCTATTCGATCAAAAAAATATAGACTTTATTTTTTTCTCTTTTTTTTTTTGTTCAGGTTCATTTCGTTGCTGTATTTATAAATCACCTTCAAATCAGTTCATATAATAGTTACAAGGAAAAAAAAGAGAGAAAGAGAAAGTAACGCATGCATATACACACACACAAAGACATGCGTGAACGAAAAAGAAAAGATGACATAGCAAGAACAAATAATGAACGAGAATTTAGAATATTTTATTTTTCCTTTCTTTACAATAATAATCTGCCTATGGATAATGTTCGGTAAGATTTTTGTAGATCATTGTATATTTTAACCTGATTTGAAGAGTAAAATAGCAACTTGTCCCAAATAAAAGTAAATAAAATGTTTTGTTTCATGTGTTACATATGAACCAAAATTACGACCAACAATACTTTAAAAATAAAAAAAATCAAGGATTAATTTCTTAATGAATATATATATATATATGTATTTCATGTGTACTTACCAATGCCATGTTGGGTTATATTTTTTATCGAATTCTTTTTTGATATAAGCAGCAATATCTTTTTCAATATTATATTTTTCAAGTGCTTGTGTTGCAATATCAACTAGAAGAAAAATAAAATAAATTATTTCTTTTTTCCAAACTCATATATCAAATAAATATAACACAAACCTGCATCTTGTTGCATGTCTTCTGACATATCAGCATTTTTAATGACAGCTTTACGATCAGTCATGGTTCAAGTTTCTATTGAAACTATAAATAAAAAAAAGAACAATTCTGTTACGATGATCAATGAACATACATTTACATTAACTCACTTTAAATTACGAAGACGACGAAGAGTGAAGCACAAATGAATGGACGCTCTATTTATATAAGTAACGGTGAGAGAGACAGAGAACGAGAGAGAGAGAGAGAGAAAGAAACCTAATATCTTTTCGTACAATCGTTTGCACTCGCAGAGAGAAAGAGAGAAGAATAGACGAGCAACCTTTCAAACAACAAGCTATGGAATAGGACAAACTAGCTTTACGTGTATACTATTGAGGCAATGGTTGCTAGGCAATGTGACCATGTTCTTGCTATAGGGAAGCGCGAACAAAATTGTAATCGTTGTTAGTACTAGATGTCAGCACTTGTTGAGAAAGAACAAAAAAAAGCAATAATTGTAATGTGAAGCTATAAATAAGTATATATCATGTTATCATAAATATTTTTCGATGATTAATAAAAGAATTTATTAGAATGTATATAGCTTTTTCGTTTCTCCTTGATAATAATTCAATCTATAAAGAAGTAAATACGCTTTTGTATATCAGACGCACAAAAGTAAATTAATTACTTAATATTTTACTGGAAAACTCCATACCAATCTTTTAACAAAATCATATGACACGTCTGAGAAACTTTTTACGTTGATATATTTAATTTCATGTCAAAGATAATAGAACAAATTATTTATTTAATTTTTATTGATTAATCAATCATAATAAAAAAATATCATCTGCCTTTATAACGAGCCTCGATTTAATTAAATTTCTCTTGTCAAGTTGTTATTCTTTCATTGAAATAGTTATAATAATTAACATAGATACTGTGTTGATTTGTATTCCATAGAAACCGGTCATAAAAACAAAAAATGCGATGATTAAAATTTGAATTTTCTAATAAATGTATGTAGAAGTTGAGTAAATGTTTCACGAAATATTGTTCCATTGAGTGTATAAATATAGAAAGTAATTCCATTTCCAACATATGTAAGTGAAAAATTAAAACTGACAATAAAATTTTCAATAGCTATACGTAATGGACTTTTGTATATATCCATAGTAAAAGTTAAATAAAATTGATGCAATGCTTGTGGAATCGAACAAAGTGTTAATAAAAATACTTGTAAAAGATGCATACGAGTAAGAGAACTTTCACTACGTCGAATTCCTCTGCGTTGATTTCTACTAATTCGACTAACATCTGATACAATAGTAATCATAACTGGTTGAACTGCTTGAAGAGAACGATTAATATTATGAATAGTTAAAAATCCAAAAATTAACATAAGTATTGATGGTATAGATACAGTTGAACTTGCATATACAATATCATTAAAAATTCGACAACTACTAGATTTACCATAACATTGCAAAGGGGCATTAGCAACATTGGCATCATAACAAAAAATTGATTCAAACCAAAGTATAAATGACGATCCACAAATAATACAAATAATTTTCCGAGCAGTTTTATATGAACTTAAACGACGTCTATGAATTTTTCTATGACTTAAAAACCATCGATCTATTGTTGCACATACAAGTAACCAAGATGTTGTTGTTCGAAATGAATAAAGAAAAAATATACGTAATTTACAAAACCATGAACTAGTACTTGTTGGATCCATTAATGTCCATACAGCTATAAGACGAGATGGAAGGCCAACAAGAAGAATTCCAAGACTAGATATAGATGAAATAAGAAAATATAATACACATGGATTCATGCGTAATGTTGGTTGTGAAAGTACAATTATATTTAATAAATTACCAATTGAACCAAAAAGAAAAATGATTAATGTCATATAATGATTAAGTTGTGAAGATATATTATTAATTAAATTTATCGTAAGATCAGTAGTTGTATTCGACATGAATATCTTATCAAGATTAAAATTGTCTAGTAGTTAGAATGATGCTTTTAAACTAAAGAAAAGAGAGTATAATGATAAATATGATCTTCTTGTTTCTTTTCGTGTGATTATTAATTGTCTGTATGTTTGGACAGATTGTGCGTGATACTGTCATTTGTAATGAACAAATGCCATTTCTACGATCAAATACAAATTTCATTCATTTCTTGTTTTGTTTAATTAGTTTTATAAAAACAAAATTCTTAGGGGTATATATATATATATTTTGTTTATTTTATATATTTATTACTATAGTTGGTACTTGTGAATATCTGATCATTTTGTTATGTCATTACCTATGAATGACAAGCGACTATGTAATAGGTCACTTCAACTTATTCATTTTTGAATAATCGAGTATTATTTTCAATGTATGCATCATCTAAAGTACAATTATGTGGAAAAGATTTTGATCATAATAACGAATACATAATTTTATACAAACACATTAGATTTTTTTTCAAAATGAGATCTATGCAAATAAACATATAGTCTTTATTGAAATATGTACATATCAAAAAAGAAAATACCGATATGTATACGTATAAGTTTTATTGTTCAAACACGTTGTTTTTTTAATGAATCATTTACAAAAATGATTATTTAATGAGAATATCAAAAGAATTTTTATGTAGTCGTATACATGAAAAATCGATAATCGACAAAAAAGGATAATTAATTACCATCTTGATCAGTATATCATCATGGAATATATCAAAATTATTAATTAGTACAACTAATAGCATAATATCGAATTTTGATTACTTTAATCATAGGCGTACCAAGAGTGGGGCGTAACATCTCCCTCTTTTTAGATTTTATGTTGAAAATAGTAAAATATGACCTATATCCACTGTACGCCCACTCCCCTACTTTCAGCACTTTGGTACGCCCCTGACTTTAACACGAAATAATACATAGTGATATACAATCATTTGTAAATACGAAGATGAATGTAACATATCATCATACAAGTCAAGTATTCAATTATCTTGTTAGTATAAGTGAAAGTCTTAGTAATCATTCACAATTTAATACTACTGAAATAGTAGTAATAAAATTTTTTCTAGTTATAGACAGATATTTTTTCTTTAATAACCTTAAGTCTCATTTTTTTTATTATACTTCAAATAGCCAATAATATTATTCCGAAAACAATAATCATTCATATAATATGAAGTATATGTACTAGATCATAGTCATCTTTGATACATTTCGTTGATCTTATGGATATTTTCACTTATAAAAATACTTTATAATTTGCATTCTAACATTTCGATTTATATATGAACGATAGAAAAAAAATTTTTATTATAAAATTCTGATACAACAAAAAAACAAAACATAGTAGGGAAATAAATATATGTCACCACACTTTCGGTTTTTGATTATTTCTTTAATCGTATAAGATATTTCCCAAAATATTTTTCCTGTAAAAAATAATGAGTATTCGACTTCATGTCTAAATTTTATCTAAATTGCACAGTGAATTTAAAAAAAACAGTAAAAATAAATCTTCATTTAAAATCATCTTCATCATCATCGTCGTCGTCGTCGTCGTCGTCTTCGTCGTCTTTTTGTTGTGGTATATCTTCTTCAACTTCTTCTGATGAATCCCATTCGGATGTTTGTTTTTCTCCTGCAGGTTGTTCAAAATCTACAGCAACATCATAAACAAAATCTTTTGATGATGGATCAACACGATTTTTTTCATATGATTCACTCATAATAAGTTTTTTATGTTTTAATGCATCATCATCAAGTTTATTAAGATCTTCATTTGGATCTAAGTTATCAAATGTACGTAATTTCTTTTCAATATCACTTTTTGATATATTTGTTGTAAGACCTTCTTTAAGAACAAATAAAAGACGTTCAAGTCGTCGCAATGGAATATGTCGAAAAAGGTTTCGATTTTTTGTTGTTTTATCATTATGAAGTTCAGTTGTATAATCAGTTATATTTGTATTTTTAGTAAAATCAGTCAACGGAACAGTACGACGACGAAATTTACCTGTTGATGTATCTGTATAAAATAAAAATATTGTGGGTGGTTTAAAACGGACACCCATTTTTTGCATTTTAATTGATGTTGATGATGACATGTTTTAATTTGATAAAATTTGTTTTTTGAATTGAAACGTAAAATTAATTTTATAGGTATGTTACCATGCACCGATCAGTTACTCATTAGATACCTCTCTTTTTCTATTTATTTCAATTTCCTATTGATGTTGTATTAAAGCAATGTCTGACATCTGTAGGAATAGAGTTTTTATATGAAAAAAAACTTCACAAAGTCTTTTATTTCAGAATGCTATATGTGGTGTATACCAAAAACTCATATGGCAATACTTCAACCTGAGACTTTGCACGTAGACAGATCTATTGATCAATAGAATGCTTCCCTATCGGAATATTAAAACTAGAAAGTATCGCTATCATTTGTGGGATATGAATGCTTTAAGGGTCACTGGTGCCTTGATAAGGGAGCATTCTACTGATCAATAGATTTGTCTGTGAGCAAAGTCTCAGGTTAAAATATTGCCTTATAACTTTTATATATCTCTCACTAAAATCTACTTTATGCATAGAGTTTGAAAATCAAAAGCAATCTATCACTTAATTATTTATCCATTTGATGTTGAAAACAACCGAAGAGAAAATTTTAAATGTACGCGATCGATAATAGCTAATTACATTAAAAATAAAAGTACTAATCGTTTGTAATGTTTATTAAAATAAAAAAAAATCACATTTAGCAGGAATATCTTTATATAAATAAATAAAAAACTAAAATGCGGGAATAATTACTATTAATAAAAAAAGCTCTCATTTATCGATTAATTTTGATAAATTGATTGTTAATCGATGAAGTTCTTGTGTAAATTTTAATTGTGTTTTATCAATTTCTTCACGAATCTCATTAACTTTATGTATTAAATTTTCATTATAAATTTCTTGTACATTTTCTTTATCTTGAACAACATTAGATGTAATTTCTTTAGTTTTTTTCATTGGTACATATCCAACACGGCATTGAATAAGACGCATTGCACGATTTGGTACTTGTATTGGTTTTATACGTAATGATAACTGCGTAACATCAAATTTCAAACCAGTTAAAAATTGAGGAAAATTACGACCCAAAGTAAACATCAGTTTTGATGATGCACTACAAAGTGGACCAAATTTTGCTTGAAAATTTAAAACTAAAAAGATAAAAGGTATACCATTTTTTTTACTTTTCATTGAATAAATTTAATTCATACCTGTCAAAATTCTTGAACGTAAATTCTCACGTTTAGCATTTTTTTGAAAATCATTTACATCACTTACAGCTAAACCAATCTAAATTTATTTTTAATTATATATTACACAAATATAGACATTAATAGTTCAATTATAAAATGAATTAAGTTTATCTTTATAGAAAAATAACAAATACTGAATCGTCCTCTTTTTCTATTTGTGAACAAGTAAAGTTTTCGTGTCGTGGTCCTTTATAAAGGTCCTCACTAACCATGGCCTTATAGGTTCTGAAATGTGAGCATGCTTCTATACCTGGTTAAAAAAATGAGCACGTTTAGCCAACCCGCAATGGAGATGTTCAATTTTTTCTCGGTAACGTGATTTATGCATAAGGAGGGAAAATCGAGACTCTAATACTCACATGTACTCCCCAAAGGAAGCACAGTGCGAATTCGAATGAAGTATAAGAGGAGTACAAACTTTGTACTTCCTTCATACTTTCGTTGTACTTTCATCGTATTTCCTTCGAATTCCCATGATGCTTCCGTGTACTACTCTAGTACATCCCTGT